AAGCTGTGTTTAGGGCAGAGTTCCCTGCTGGGGTGGCCCTGGCTAAGGTACCTAGCTGTGTTTGGGACAGAGTTCCCTGCTGGGGTGGCCCTGGCTAAGCGGTAGAGCGCCACTATCCATCTCATCACACTCTGCCTCCGTGGTAGCCTCCCTCCCTCTCCTGAGGCTCTGGTTTGACCCTGCTTACTCCCTCCAGGACCAGAAGTTGTCTGTCCTGGGCCTCATTTTCTTTTCAATTGTTCCCTAGTGTATCCTGAACTGCCTAACGGGCATTCTAAGGATTTATTATTTTCTCTAACTGAAAACTAGGAGGGCAGGTGCTGAATACATAAAAACGCCAGAATGTAAAAGCATAGTAACAAGCCATTGGCATAAGACACAATAACCAGGCAAGCAAGATAAGTGTAGATAAAAATGTGGCACCTGGTGGGCCAGAATGTAGATGTTGTGTCCAACGTCCTTGGGAGAAACGCCATCATCCCCTCCTTCCTCGTCCCCATGGTCACATTCCAGTCCTTGGTTATAGGCATTCTTCATCACATCCACCTAGCAATAAATAAATGATAATAAATAACAAGAACAGGGTCTGAGGGATGGCAGCAATACTTCAGGTTGTCTGCGAACTCAAAATTGGGAAGCTTCTTGTCACTCAAAACCATAAACACTCTAAATAAACAAACACTGCATTTTCTCTCACATGCAAACTTCACATTTAAGTGTGTGTGTGTGCCTGTGCATGCATGTACGCACACACACGTGTACCTATCTGTACCATGTGATGGTAGACGGGAGGCTGTGAAGACAGAAAGAGAACTAAAGGAAAGGAAAAGTAGCTAGAACAGGGCAATGAAATACATGTGAAAAGAAAGGGCAGGGATATGAGGGGAAGAGGGACCAGCAAAAGGGAAGCCGGGATTGAGAACAAGTAAAATGGCTTATCTCTCAGCTCCCACTGTCAACTACACACAGCCTAGGGCTGTCCGAGGAAGCTCCGACAGGAGGCTGCCTCCTAGGGCTGGCCTATGGAGTGCTCTCTTGATTGCTAACTGCGGGAGGGCCCAGCCCACTGTGGGCGGCACCGTCCCTAGGCAGGTCTGGCCTGGGCTACAAGAGAGAAGTAAACGGATGGGAGCTCGGGCACAGGCCAGCAAGAGGCCTGTGCTCCTGCCTTTACTTCCCTCGGTGAAGAACTGACCTGGCCCTGTAAGCCAAAGAGAGCCTCCCTCCCCATGCTTTTGGTCATGATGTTTATCATGGAAGAAGAAACGCAACTAGCATAACTTATTAGTGAAAAAAAAACATAATAAAATTAAAAATACATACTAACTTAAAAATAATTTAAAACATATTCTTGAAAACCATCATATTGTTACTGTGTTTCCCATTTACTTTGAAAGTTTCTGTTCATGTCTTTGAACATCAGCACTCTGAGGTCTGAGGTCTCCAAGATTTAAGAGAGTTTGGAATCCTGAGAAACATTCACTATTTACTGAACACAGTAAATATTTGTGGATATAAACATGTTTTTGTTTTGGTCCCAGGTGTGGGATGCAGGGCTGATTCAGATTGTCCACAGCAGCAGACTATTTGCCTTGAGGTCTTTGCCAGCTGCAGACAGTTTAAATCTGAGGACTTTGGGAGAGAAGAAATGCCAGAAACCAGAGAGTGTGGAGCGGAGAAAGAAGAAGCCATTGCTGCTAACTCCCTTCGGCTCCTGTTACTGCTGATGCAATGAGACAAGAAGTTGGAGATCTGGACTGGACTGGCTCCAAGGAACCCGACGACCCTAACCAGCAGGAAGCAGCTAAGAGAACTGCACCCCCTCTCCCACTAACTCTCTCTCCTACCTGATGTTGGAAAGGATCGGGGTGGAGCACGGAGAAGGAGATATAAGAAATGTAAACAAAAGGGTTTTTAGAAAGTACACTGACACCGGGCACTGAGGAACCTGCAATGGACAAGGACAGCATCTCCACTCAGAGGTCCTGTCCAGCAGGAGGCCAGCAAGAAAGAGGTAGGGACAGCAGCTCACTGTCCCTATAAGGGGCCTGGGGTGGCCATGTCACTCAGTTTGTGGATGGGTCACGAAGAAGGGCGCACATGACAGGAAAAGGTGTTAAGGGCAGAGGAGACCATCTTCAAACAGTGGGGCACAGTGCCACTGTCAAGTAAGAGTGTGGCAGCAGCTTCGGCCCCCACGGCACCCAGCCGCACCCCTGATGTGGGGGACTTAATCATGAGCACACTGAGCACCTCGACAGGTATCTCAGACCTACTGCTTTCAGAGCATGCCGAATGACGTCATAGCGTGCATGCCTGAGGGGGGAGGAACAGCACACAGGGACACACTCCTCGGATCCAGCGCCTGCCTCCTCTTCCCGTGAGGCCAGGCACCGTGTGGCAGCTCATTTGTACGAATGATTTTCCAAACATGCAAATCAAATCTATCTGCTTTGGAAGAGTGCAGCTAGAACCCAGGGTGTGGCATGCTGTTCACGCCTTCCACACACACTCTTCTTCCTTGGTTCCCCGAGGACCTGGCTTCAGACCTAAGGATTTCAAACTTCACACATACTCGATTCCCGATGTAAAGTGGGGCAGTCTGCAGGGCGACTCTGCTCCAGGCACACTCATCTCCAGGTTGTTCACAGTATGTAATGTGGTACAAACATTACGTGCTCCATTGCATCGATCAGAAAAAACAAGATGAGCATCTGTAGGTGTTGGTGCAGTGTGCTCTTTAAAAAGTGCTCTTGACCCACAGACTGTGAACTTACAGGGCTGAGCCCACTAACAGCCAACTGCACCCACGAATCGTTAATCATCGGGAAGGAGGGAAGGAGGGAAGGAGGGAAAAAGGGAGGGAGGGAAGAAAGGAAGGAAGAAAGGAAGGAAGGAAGGAAGGAAGGAAGGAAGGAAGGAAGGAAGGAAGGAAGGAAGGAAGGAAGAAATTTTACAGAGATGTATATTTGCAAAAGTCAGTTGTATTTAGCCAGAGTGTGGTAATTTGGTTAAAGGAAGTGCTTAACAGTGGATTAAACTAGCAAATCAGTCTGCGGCAATGACGGATGGCAAGCGTGTCCCTGCTCTCTCGGAGACCCCAGGTCAGTTCCTGGCACCCACATCAGGGGCTTACACCAGCCTACAGTTGAGGCTCCAGGGGATCCACACCCTTCGCTGGCCTCCAAGCACACGAGAACACGTGTGACATGCATACACATAGATACACACACAGGAATAAAAACAAAAGCTAATTCTACGACAAACAGAAGCCAGTGACTCCACAGTCCGGGGCCCAGGGCCTTCCCCGTGGTGGCCCCACCCCACAAGGCTCTTACCAGCTCCCTGGGTCTCATGTTGAAGAGGGTCCTCTCCGCATTCTCGCTGTCGTGTCTGCTCTCCATAATGGCCAGCAAGAGCTTGGAGGCGTTGTTCTGGGGACAGGGACTGGGTCAGTCCACACGCAAGGTCCACACCACAGGTTAACCAACCCCTGCGTTTGAGCCAACTGAGATCTCCCAGGCCCTTTTTGCTTTCTCAGTCAAATTCGAAACTTCTTATTTATTTTCTCTTACTGACATTTGCAAATAGAGTGTTTTACTTTATTGTTGATACAAAATAAAAGCAATGAGTCATGAAAGGTGGGGGGGGATATTTTTAAATCACAGGCGTTTTAAACTGAGTAGATGCTGCATTAAATAGAACTATATTTTCGTTTTTGTTAATTTTTAAAAAATTATTATTTATTACAGTGTATTCACTTTGTATCCCAGCTGTTGCCCCCTCCATTGTCTCCTCCCAGCCCCACTCTCCCACCCTCTTCTCTCCCTATGTCCCTCTCTTAGTCCACTGACAGGGGAGGTCCTCCTCTCCTTCCATCTGACCCTAGCCTATCAGGTCTCATCAGGCAGCTCAGTGTTCATGTGGGTTCCCTAGTAATAGGAACACAGACTGTGTCTGACATGGACTCAGTGGCTGGTTCTTTGATCACCCCCTGTGAGGGGGGAGCAGCTTCACCAGGCCACAGAGGAAGATGATGCAGCCAATCCTGATGAGACCTGATAGACTGTATTCTCTCTCAGTGCTTTCTAATTGAATTTCTATGATGACACTAACAATCAGACAAACAGGAATCAGTGGCATTTTATGGACATGGCATAAAATTTAAAGAATTTAGTACAACCGTTTTAAAAATGAAGTGACAATATTAGTAGCATATTGAAATTGCATATACATTTGTGAGTCATTTGTGAGAATATTTGAAGTTCTAAATTCATGAGTTAGAAATAAAATGGTGATCTGCTGAGAACTTGCTTGTTTCATCATGTTTATTATTCAGTGTTTGGAAGTTATTAATAACATCCATTATTGTCTTAATTAAGAATGAAATCAGTTAATGTTGCTGGATGTATTTCGATTGTTATAAAATACTATCTCAAATATTGTTATTTATCAGAGTACGAAGGCCTCTTCAGCGCTACACGGGCATGGGAGGGAAGCGCTCTGTCCCCACCTAGATAAAACCTTTCTCTCTACAGACGTCAGAGAGGAGAACGAAGTAGAGAGAAATGGTTTAAAGACACTTTTAGAGGCAGAGTCCATATGTTTCTAGAGTGATAAAAGCAAGCTGAGTTCATGTTTGGGGTAGGGGACAAAGCACTAAATGATAAGATTGTGCGAACTAACACAATGTTAGATTTGGTTCCACATTCTCCACAGGGCTCCCAAAACTGCCTCATGCCACCTTTAAAGGGACATCTAAAGATTCCAAAGATAACGAGGGTGATGGCCACCGTGAAGAATTTCAGGGCGGAGTGGGATCTTTTTTTATTTTTCCTGTTCCAGTTTCATATTTTACAGATATTTCAAATCCTACAATCAACTTTCATAATCTAGGGTCCAAACAATATGCCTTAAAAATAAGGCGAGGGGACTGGGGAGCCGGCAAACCCTTCCAGCTGTGTGAGCAAACCCCAAGAGCTCAGAATGGCAGCCTGGCAGCGCTGGCTGTGTCCTCTAATGAGCCAGCCACATGCTGCAGGGCCGGTAGAAAGGGCTGCGGACGTGTCCAGTTTCTGAATGTCACCGGCAGTGTGGCGCTTTTAACCAATTACCTTCTCGTACTTTCTGAGAATAGAAAGAAATCTTGCAAATGACCCCCTGAAATCTAAACCAATTTGGAATTACATGAGCCTGGATGTATTAAAAAACCCAACACAAGTTCTCCAGTTAGCAAGGGATTTTCCTTCCAGTGGAAGCCAGATTCTTCCTAAACAAAACACAAACAACCCCCCTCTCAACAAATGTGGCACCTTGCACTCACAGACCAGTTACGAAAATGAAAAGACAAAGAGGATGAAACAGATGTCTGAGAAATTCATAAAGCCATACACTAAATGAGTATATAAAGCATAGTTAAAACTGCAGTTTGTATATTATATATTTAATATATCATACAAAACTATACTATGTTGTATAATATCTTATTATGTATAATATATAATTGTATAAAAATTATGTCACAAGTATATCTTTATAGCACTGTAATATACTGTAGGTATATTACTAAAATTATGGATGATTAGGCCATCAAATCTGGGAATCAGCATTACAAGTAGTTTATTATTTACAGGGCCTCATTTCATGACCTCTCACAAACTTGCCAGCATACACAACTCTGCTCTCTTATCAGGAAACAATACATACAACATCTTTAGATTTGAAAGGTATGCTCACGTAAGTCTACGTCAAAGACCACACTTAAGTATTCAAAAGAAGCAAATACGCTGCTGCCCAGGCACGTCCTGACGTATCTGACGGCCATTTGCTTAAGTAAACTGTGCCACTGTAACAAATAAAAGTTGAATGATCCATGTTTTAAAGAAATTCAATCTGAAAGGTTAATAGTGGGTTAAGCTGTCATGCCTTGATTTTTCAGCGTAACATCTGGACTGGTGAATACCGCACACATCTGCACTGTGTGGGGCTATTCGCCAGCCCCCACGCGCTGCGTCATGCAGTGGACACGGGCTGTGCTGTCTAGTGCACCATGCACTGCAGAGCAACAGGACGTGTGTCCTTTTAAACACTGAAGGCGGAGCCTCGGATGCTGTGTCTCAGGAACTGCAGTTAAAGCTGGATTTAACAGAGAATGACAGAGTCTGCACAGTGCCTCCAGGTAGGCTGCCTGTCATGTGTGCCCAGAGCTGACTCACTCACTCACGGGAGCCAGTCAGGGAGGGTGGCCTCTGCTGTGAAGGGGCTGGGGTGGGAGATGCTGGGCAGAGGGTTAGCTGTCACATAAAGCATGGGAAAAGCAGTAAAAACACGAGTAGAGCCCGGCACCACGGTGCCCAGTGTGCACGGACAGCGCTCTGAACCCCCCTTGCTACCTGCACAAAGTTTACTCTCCTGTCTGTGAGGTTGGACAGTCCCGGCTTTACAGGAAAAGTGTTAAGCCGTGCGCTGAGCTTTGTCTGTATGTGCTGGGTGTGAGTGTGGTGCTCCAGAAGGCCACAGATCTCCTCAGGAGTCTCCTTACGAATGCCATCACCTTGTCCTGTGAGACAGCCTCTCAGTGGCGCAAGGTTCACTAACCAGCAGCCATGCTGACAGGCCAGAGATTCCCGGCTCCTCGTTAGCACTAGGATTGAAAGAGCGCGTCACCTCACCAGGCATCTTCACGCAGCTTCTGGGCACCAAACCTGAGCGTGTATTAACTGAGTGACCTCCTCGGCCCCTGCCGTGCGGCCTTCACAACTTATCTAACACCAATAACCCTTTATCAGCGTGTGCATTTCTGTAGGTTGTTTTATTTATTTATTTAGCCTATTTTTGTTTGAACAGAAATTTTTGAATTCCACTATGCTCTTGAGCTTTGATAGATAGAATTTTCTGGAAGTGTGCACCAGGCACAAGATGAATCCCAGGACTGGGAAGGGGCTAGATTCAACCACAACACAGAAAGGAGGAGGAAGACAATGAATTAAAATGCAATATCCCTAGGTGTTCTTTAACTCATCATGGCCACTGGGTCAATTCTCTATCTAGGGCAGATTAAAAACCGAGGACAGCATGATTATGCAGCGTCTTTTGCGTCTCTGTGTAATGAGAACTAGGAAATGAGAACAGAGGGCACAGGGTAAGGAGCTGCCTCAGCGTCTGCCACAGACGCTCACAAATGGCTGCGGCCGAGTCATGCCTTCCCTGGCACGCAGCCGGAGCCTCGAGAGCTCCACCACCCAATCCCGCCATCCCTGAGCTGAGCGACCGTGCCATCTTTTGCACCATCGCTTGGCCTCAGAAGGCTGTGCTGGAAAGCTCGGGGCTACGGTACCTTCAGCTGCAGCACCAAGTCCATTCTGTACTTCCCCAGAGGGTTGATGTCGTTCAGGATCAAGGCAATGATGATGTCAATCCCGTTCGATTCGTGGGTGGCAATGCAGGTCTAGAAGAGGAGATATCTGTGAAATGGCACGCTGGTTTTGACACAACGCCAGAAAGAGTACTAGAAGATTGGAAATTTTAAAACAACAAGTACAGACCATGTCCGACATTTGAATTCGTTTTTGGGTAGGGTCATATAAAAGACTGGTGCTGGTAAGTGCCATGAAAAACACCTGTCTTTCGCATGAAGACCTGCAGAATTTCAGAGATAACTGGGAGAGTTAAAACTTGTCCAGTCAACAAGGCCCAGCGGATCCACCATACAGGAGACCCTTAAACTGTGAATTTTAAGGTACGATCATCCTAAGAACACGAGAAACAGGGAGACTTGTGGCTTTCACAAAACTCTCCGAGCAGAGCTTCTGTGCATGCTGGGCAGAGGGAAAGCTCACAGGATTCCTGAACTGAATGAAGCATTTGTGGAGGGATATGACTGCGCAATGCAAACACACCCGGAGAGAGCAGCTCTCGTACTCTGAGGGGGAAGGCCCAGTGTGCGAGGATTTCCCACTGCACTGTATGGAAGCACCACGAAGGCCATTTTCTTGTGACCTGGCTACCAAGCCACACAAGCAGCCAAGCAGCCTGAGAAACTGAAACCCTGGTGAATCACACAAGAAAAGGCCGCCCCAGCCAGCAGGACGGCGCGGCCTCGTCTCTCCTTATACCAGGACATTTGGGCAGAGCAGAGTATTCCTGTCCAATGCTGACATTATGTCTTGAGGCTTTTCTGCTTGTGGAAACATCTGCCGGACTCAAAGGAAATCTATCTCAAATCATTTCTAGAATTTGCTTGAAGGCCTTCTGTGCATTTTCAGAGCACTGGGAACTATTCAGGTAGGGCGCATTACAATATTATAGTTTTTACTCTGAGAACTCATGTGGTTTCAGTGAAGAGCTTTCAAAACTCAGCTCCATCCTGTTTCCACAGAGTAGAGAAAGCTCTGACAAACTTCCACAAAGTGGCAAAGTAGTGAAAGATATAGGAATCACATGTATATTTTCTATTTCAGGGATAGAATTTTATCAACAATTTCAGCCAACCTCTGAATTTGCATCCTCTGCCTTGACTTTAAATCAACAGGCAAGGATGTCTTCATCGCTGTTAGAAACTACAATATAATCTTGAAAACTAAAGAGAAAAAAATCTACAGACTCTTTTCACGTTCTAAACACACGACAGAGAAGAAAACATTGTAGCAATGACCGACATGTGTCCATTGCGTGGACACACAGCTGTGTGCATACCGTGTGGTCCGTGTGGACATGCAACCTGCAGCACAAGAGCTGCCTTTCCTTGTATTTTCTCTCTGCACCAACCACTGCTGTTTGGTGTCTTTAAAATTTATGTCCAGCAATGTTTGGCATGGAGACGCATTGCCCCTGGGCCTTGCCTGCTCCAAGATGCTTTGAGGATGCTAAACAATTGTCAGAATGTCAGATGACACCAAACCCTTTACTCCCCTATGTGTTCTGCTCTGCCTTGTCCCATAATGTGTCCGCACAGCAAAGCATTCTGGGAGGCAGAGGTGAATGCTGGGTCTCTCACATGTGTGTGCACCAACATCAAAACGCTGCAGTCTGGGCCCAGAAACTGCAGAAATGGAGTGCTGCAGTCAGTGAGCGGATCTCAGGGTCAGAAGTCGTCTATCGGCGAGATGGCAGCAGGGAGGCCCACTTCCCAAGTGTGCCAAGCATATAAAACACATATTAAACCGCAACACACACACACACACTGCAGTGCAGCCAAAGCCACGGAGAATTAGCTCCACACATCTGCACAGATTCCCTGCAGTGAAGGCCTCAACACTATGTTTGGGGAGAAACATAAAATCACCCTTGTTTCAGTCACTTTTTACCTTAAACACTTTCATGGGGATTTCCTCTCACCATGAAGATTAAAATGTGGCCTAAGCTACATCTGAGATGCTGGCCTATGATCCCGCCTCCGTGTGTGTGAGGACAGGGGCAGTGCCTGGCTGAGTGAGCAAGGCTTCACCAGCAGGCTGGCTGCCCGCGTGGCCTGGCTGTGGCTCCAGAATCCCGGCTCCTGTCACGTGATGCTCTGCTGTCATGGTTACCTGGTTTTCATGGCACGGGCCCTGGCAGTACTCCGTTAGGCTCTCCAGAGTCTGGTTGACCAGAGCCACGTTCTTCTCATTGATGTAGAGCCCCAGCAGGCCCAGGCCACCCGTGGTGCTGCCGCAGATGCAGTCCAGAAACTGAAGCGTCTCACACACCAGGTTGTAGTTTGTCTTGTTGTTCTGATTCCTCAAGAAGTTCTGGAGGGTGAGAAGGAAAATGCAACTGAAGGACTGAAAGCAAAACAGGGAAAAAAATTGGTGCTGATGATGTTCAGTTGTGTGTGTGTGTGTGTGCGCGCGCGCGCATGCATGTGTGTGTTGTGTGCATGTGAGTGTGTTTCTCAGTAAAATTCCCTGCCAGTAGGGAATTCAATTGGTCTTTATTAGAAAGTGGAACAGCTTGGGGGAAGGGAGGGGACCAGCAAAAGAGGGGAGTAGTGAGGACACAGACTGGGTAGGACTATAACTAAAAAGATGATGTGTATGAAAATGTCATAATGACACTCGCTATTTTTCACGCTAACTCTAAAATCAGGTAATGCTGAAGTGTGGCTGCACTGAGGGTCTCTTAAAGCAGAAAGGCCCCTCTGGTCCTAGCAGAAGCGCCTTGTCAGAACAAGTCATAACCGATGCTGCTCCACGGTCATCCCTGTAAATCTACAGTGGGTGGAAGTGAGTGTGAGCAGTGGAAAGGAGAAGGAAAATAAAGTGGGTGTTCCTGGAGGCGGAGCCCAACTTCCAAGTGAACCCTCCCTGCCAGCCCCGCCAGGTCCCTGTGCAGCGGGCAGAGGACCATGCGGGGGCGACATGGAGGCCCTGTCAGTGAGCAGTCCTAACTCTGTGAACACACACACACACACACACACACACACACACACACACACACGCTGCTCGCCGCTCACCACCTGTTAGCCCAGACCGTGTCTCAGCGCTAGTGGCGTGACAGGCTTGGGAAGCACTTCCGTGTGTACGGATCAGCATGGCCGAGCGGCAACACAGTCATGTATGAAGGTACTACATGACCAAAGCAGAGGCACCGTATAACGTATAATCTCTTAGCAGAAGGAAGGTTTACATGTACATATCAGTGTTTGTCTGTGCCCAGAATTTTCTGGGAGAAAACAGTCTATTATTAGTGCATTTCCTTTGGGGAACAAGGCTAGGAAAAGGCCGTGAAGAGAAGGGGAGAGAGTTCCTGTTTCAGTGTTCTTACGGGCATCTATTTGTCTGTTTTTAGCTCATTTTTGCCATTTGTTATTAATAACACCGTGGGGGCAGTCCTCCGCAGTCAGTCATTAAGCATCCATCCTGCTCATGGATGTCCCCACCAGCAGAAGCTTGCTCTAAGCTGCAACGTGCTTGTCCACGTGAGCCACGCTCCTCCACCATGCATTCTGGAGTGTCTCCGTGGAGTGGATGGCATTCTGTCTGCACCCACTATCTCCTGCCTTTCGGATCCGTGCGTTCTGGACAACAGTGGACACAGCTCCTCACTCTGCCCTCTGTGTGGACAGACACACAGAGGACCTGGTGACTTAGTGAAACCTCAGCCAGTTCACTATAATCCACTGACAAAACCACTTTCCAGCCATGCTGGCTGGTAGCGTGGCAGAGCTGGCTGCCACGGTGGCCGAGTGTCTTTCTTGGAATCTCTTCAGCCATTCTCATGCCCCCTCAGTCAGGGCAATCACATCTACTCCTTCCTGTGCCTTTGCTAATAGTGCCATAGGCAACGTATACAAATAATGCCACAGAAGGAGTCAAAGTTTCCAGGCAACCCTAGTCCACACATCAGAGGAAACGGCAGTGGTGAGATATTATGATGTGGGGTACATTTGCTAAGCAACTTTCACTATCATAAAAATTCCTTACGTTACTTTGTTTCTAACGAGATGTGAAATGTATTCACTATTGTGGTCCACTACTGTGGACTGGGAAAGATGTATTGAAAAAGTGTTGAAAAATGTGAGTTGAAAAGTGTGAAAGGCAAATGGAACAAAGATGCTCTTCCTGAACAAACACCAGGAGGAGGTGCTCACTGGAACTGAGGTGTGGACACAGAATGACTGTAAATTGGGGGCTTTGTTTTCTTAACGCATAAACTATTTTTCTCTTGTTTTTCTTCCCTCCCTTTCAACAGGGCATTGCTGCCTTTGTAGGTTAGCTCTCCAGAAATCCCTCCAAAATTATGTATCTGTCTCCTTTGATCTGGGCTCCTCCCCGCTGCTGGCTCCTCCTACCGCGGGCTCCTCCCACCCCGGGCCCCTCCCTGCTGCTGGCTCCTCCCACCGCGGGCCCCTCCTTGCTGCGGGATCCGCACCCGCTGCTAGCTCCTCCCACCACGGGCTCCTCCCCGCTGCTGGCTCCTCCCACCTCGGGCTCCTCCTACCGCGGGCCCCTCCCCGCCGCTGACTCCTCCCCGCCGCTGGCTCCGCCCACCGCGGGCTCCAGGGGTCACCAGCACGCGGCCAGGGCTGTGAAGTACCTGAAGCTCCCGGTTGTGGTTCTCACACAGCAGCTGCAGGAACCTGAGGATGGGCCGCATGATGGTGATGGCAGGGCTCATGGTGACCTCCTCTGCAGACTTCTCCTCCGCACCTCCTGTTTCCTGGCCCGGGCACACCGTGTCCGCCTCCGGGTCCATCTCCCTTCTGTACACACAGTAGGCCTTCGATGTCACCGACGATGCCTCTGCTAGCTGCCCTCTCATCCCCTCCTTCAAGTGCAGCGATGAGTCTCTCGCTGAAAAGCAAGCAGGTATATTTCTGAACTAGGTTTTTCTTATTTATTTATTTACTAAAGGAAAATACAAACCAAACAACAATTAGGGATCCGAATTTTCCCATAACTGAATTTTAAAATCACCTAACAAGAGGTTCAATAATTTTCTGAAGGGGACTTGAGTAACAGCTAAAAAGTTAACAACAGTGACCAGAAGAAAAGTCCTAATTTTTAGCTAATTTCAGAATTTCTGAGGTATAAAAGTGTATCGCAAAGACACATAGCATGTGTACAGATGTGCACAAATGGTTTTACAAGTGTATCTCGAAGAGCCAGAGAGGTAGCATCTTAGCTGCTTTTCTGTTCGGATAAACACCATGACTTGGGCAACTTGGGGAGAAGGGGATTTTTCCACCTTACAACTCTCAGGACACACCTCATCACTGAGGGAAGTCAGGGCAGGAACCTGGAGGCAGGAACTGAAGCAGAGGCCATGGAGGGGCTGCTTACTGGCTTGCCTCAGCCTGCTTTCTTACAGGAAGCAGGACCACCTGCCCAGGGGTGGCACCACTCACAATGGGCTGGGCCCCACAGCAGTCATTGACCAAGACAATGCTCTATAGACTTCCCTTAAGGTCAGCCTTACTGAGGCATTTTCCCAGTTAAGGTTCCTTCTTCCCAGTCATGTCTAGCTATGTATCAAGCTGACAAAAACCAACTAGCAGAGATGGCTTAGTGGTTCACAGCACTTGCTGCTCTTCCAGGGGGCTGGGTTGAGTTCCCGGTAATGGTATTAGGATGCTCCTGTAACTAACAGTATTAGTTACCTCCTGTAACTCCAGCCCCAGGAGATCCAACACCACCTCTGGCCTCTGTGAAACCCACACATGCGGCACACATAGAGAGAACAAGAATGGATCAAGAAACTTGTACACACGTAAGAATTCCTATAGATCTCATGGAAAAAAATAATAAATTGCAAAATGATAACACCCCTGCAGTTTGTATTTAACTGACAATAACTCGGTTGTTTCAAATATAAACACTTTATAAATTCTGTCCTCAGAGTTTAATTTCCTCAGAAAGTTTTGGATGGTTTTCTTTACTGCACAGAACAATGAATTCAAAGTTCTTTCATGGTGCTTGCTGCTTCCACACCGATTAAACGCCGATTTATTTTGGTCCTGCAGGACTATTCTAGGGTCAGTTCCCTGACCAAAATCCTTTATAGATGGAAGTCCACACTGGAAACACAGGAGATAATTAAACCCCAAGAAGAAAGATGACAAAGCTGCGTGAGATTCAAATGCTCCGGTGCTTTCTTCTCTCACACCATTTCCCCAGGAAGCGCCTCACCTCTCATCCGAGGGCCCAAGGCCACGAGGTCACTGTCATCATCTCTCTTCTTGCTCCCTAAGTCTATGGTGTTGACAGTCACTGTGGATCTGATCTCTTTCTGAGCAGCTTTCATCCGATCATAAAGGACTTTGAAGAATTTTTCTGACTTTTTTTGTTCATGCAACTGCTGGTAGAAAGAATACTGCAGAGAAAGCATAGTTTAAAATATCAGTCCCTGAGGCAAGAAAAACAGTAGTTTATTCTGAAATAAACACAGCCCTTACAGATAAAAGCACAGTTGCTGCCTTTTATTTATCCCACAAATGAACAGGCTTTTGGTCTCTCATTCCACTTAGTATGTACTAATAATACATGGTATTACATTAGCAATAACAGCTCGAGTTTACTAAGCACCTTCCATTAAAATCTAACATATTCCATATTCTACCTGATATATCCTTTCTGCCTGTATTTTTTATTGTAAGAGTACAGTAAGTCGTTATAGTAAATGATTTTTTTTTTAGTCTGATAGTATTATGAAGCTGTGTAGTGATTCAGTACACACTTATTGAAAGCCTACTATGTGTTGGGTCCTAATTGTTGCTAGCAACCAAACAAAAAGAGAAAGGTGCGCACATGAGTCTGTAACCCGAAGTGAGGCAGGGCCACTCACTCGTGACTGTCCTGTATCAATAAGGACTCCCTATTAGGTGACGAAGTTGTTTTTCTTGTATCGAACTGATAGTAAATTTAATTTAGGTGGTGTTACCATGACAACCTCGCTCGTGAGAACCCACTGGTAAATAATATCTTATTAAGTTGTTTTGTTACGACATAAATTATGATGCTTTACATGTAGTTTAGGGGAAAACGACTGAAAAGAATCTAATTTATCATCAATAATGACGCGGAGAGGATTTAAGATCAAATGTGTGGTAAGCCGTGCCACAGTGGTGTGTGGCAATGCTGAGCTGTGGCGACTAGTCTCTCTGTTAGGGACTTTATGGAAAATCCAGAAGAACTGACAGGAGGGGGGGTACTCCAGAGGAGATGTAATTTAACGGCTGGAGAAAGTTTAACCCTATCCATAAGACACTGATATAAAAATATACACAGAGGAGAGAGACAGGAAGAAAATCAATACAGTGAACCTTTGGTAAAGGACAAAGGGCGGTTTCCGTAAGCTTCCTGAGAGGCGGTGTGAAGAGACACGTGATCTCCTGATCGGTGAAACCAGCCACACGCAGGCAGGCTGGGATATCTGACAGTTACTGACACATCTTCCTGAGGGAATGGCTGGAGCCCACTAACTCAGGTGACGCGCATGCACGCCATCTCGCCATCTCTTCCATGGACAGCATCTGCGCACAGCCTTCAGCGTCAGTCTGTCAGGGGACGCTCCCTAGCACTGTGTCCAGCCTCTTCCAGGAGCAGCACAAAAAGCCGGCAGTAACCATGGCAACTGCACTGAAACAGCCAAGCTGGCTCTGATGGCTTGCAGGATAAGGGCGGCACCCACAGACCTCCGTGGTCCCACAAATTAAGCTGTTGTCTGAGCTCTATTTAACATACCTGACAGGGAGGTGACGCAAGGCTCTGGTGCATTGGGGAGGAAGTCTCGGGAACATTGAGCTCTATTAAGACACAGCTTTTTAGTTAGGGGGTCCATTCACACCCCCATGTCACAGATACTTTCGGGCCAACAGTGTGATGAGCAGAGAGTTTTCACTCCATGCAACAGTGAGGCAGAGAATCTGCCACGTTATGTAACCCACGTGCGGCAGCACTCGATGTAGTTTTATATAAATGATGCTTTCACGGGTCTATGGCGCACACCCGTGCTGGGCAAGCCACGAACAAAGTATGTGTCATGGGTTAACCAGACAGCATAGTGTCTACCCAAAGACAGCACGCTACGAACAACAAGGAAGGTCAGGGGAGACTCTAAGGCCTTTAGCTTCCTTTCCAGTTGCTGCAATAAAGCACACTGTCAAAAGAAACTTGGGGGAGACGGGCTCCTCAGCTCTCAGCTATAGGTTAAAATCGACCACGGCACGGAAGCTGCAGCAGCAGGAGCTGGAGGGAATTTGGCATGCCCATGATCAGTACAGAATGCAAGCAGCTTCTCTGCTCTGACCTGGTGCAGGATCCCTGCCTAGGGAATGGTGCCACCCCTAGTGGGTGGCTCATCCCGCATCGATCAAGACAAGCCCACAGGCATATCGGAGGCTGGCCTCATCTAGACCAACCCTCACTGAGACTTTCCTCCCGGGTGATTCTAGATTATGTCACATTGACAACTGTGAGCGGTCATCCCACCAAGATGCCCGCTCACATGCAGTCAGCCACTGTCCCTTCCTAGGGCTACTGAAATAGAAGGTGATTTCTGCAAAGGAGAGCATCATTGTGGCTAGAGCCCAGAGCCAGCAGCAGGAGCGCAAACCCCAGCTCTGTCTCCGAGCGGCCATGGGAGCTGCGTTCTGCTTGTTTCCACCTAGGATCAAACACATTTCATCACTGGCTATTGGAGGCTTAGTCAGATTCATGTATGTAAAAATGGGTCCTAGTCCTCAGTAACCTTTGTGTTTTATTTCTTTTTTTCTTTTTGAGACAGTGTCTCACTCTATGGCCAGGTTGGCCTCCAAACAACACCCCTGGCTCAGCCTCCAGAGTCCTGGGGTCACAACTGTGAACCACAATACCTAGCTTTGATTTTTCTCATCATTGGTGTTCGAAGCTACAACTTCTTCCATCCACCAGCCCACATCCAATCAAGTATATTGAGCACAGGAAGTAACTCTTAACGAAAGGATTCATGCTGGTTCAGGATAACCGAAGCGAGGCAGCTTAGATAGCCGTGAGTTGGAAAGGGAAACACTGCTGACTAGAGAGATTATGACTATGAAACTCAGAGCGATTGCTGCTCTTACAGACGACCCCCGTTCAGCTCTTAGCACCCACATGGAGCCCATAACCCTCTGCAACTCCAGCTTCAGGGGATCCAGGATCTCCTGGCCTCCATAGGCACACCCAACATACACAGAGATAAAAGCAGCTCTTGTAAACTTCCTACAGGATTGGCAGGAGTCTCGTGGAGCGCATGATGTGAATGAGAAATGTCCCCATAAGTGCCTGCCCTGAACACCAAGCCAGCGGTGCTGTGTGTGAGGTCCTGGAGTGTTAGAATGTGAAGCCTGGACAGAGAAAGCATGTCACAGGTGGGGGACCATCCCCCTAGCTTGCTGGACAGTCTGAGGGACTACCCAGCCTCGCCCCCTCCAGCTTGCTCTCTTCCTGTGTGAGGGGGGTACAGTCTCTCAGCTCCTGGCCCCTGCTGCCTGCTGCCTCGCCTCCCCTGCTCTTATGGATTCTCCCTCAGGAGCAGTCCACATTACTGCTGCCCCTTCAACAGGCCTGTGAGGCTTATTATTTGTTTGTTTGCTGCTGCAAATAAGACTGAACCCATGGCCTCAGAAACACTAACACTGTTTACTACTGAGCTACAGGCCTGGCTCCCCATTTACTTTTAAATTTGAGAGCAGCTTTCCTTAACTTCACCAGACTGGCCTCGAGCTTGCTCTATAGCTCGAGCTTTCCTTGAACTTGTGGTCCTCCTGCCTCAGTCTCCTGAGCACTGAGATTACAGGTTTGTATCACCAGCTCAGAATGTGCAGGGGTATGTGTGTGTGTGTGTGTGTGTGTGTGTGTGTGTGTGTGTGTGTATTAACTGGCTATAAAAGACTGTGAAAAAATAGAAAATAGCCTATCACACATACATTAAAACTGTTGACAATTAACTGGAGAGCTACAATGTAAGACCAACACTAGAACAAAGTCACACAGAGACGGTACGAAGCCAGACCCGAGGCTGTGTGTCGCACCTCAGCTAGAGGAGAAGGCTTTGTCAAGAGCCATCACTCATAAACGTATCCACACCGAACAGTAACTAGCACTAGAGAGTTCCAAACCCAAACAGCGTAGGGACGAAGGTGTGTCCCAAACCTTCAAGGGTCTTTAGTTTACCAGATGGAACCTGGGGCCCACATGGAGAGACCCAGTGAGAGAAACATTACCCTGACCATCTGCAAGTCACAGCAAGGTCACGTGGCCACTCACAGTCATCCTGCCCAATGGGGCAGGGACCTGAGAGGAGACACTGAGCTGAGTCCTCCCAAAGAGCACAGAAGACATGACATGATACGCCTGGGGATGACAAAGAGAAAGAGCAAGGGGGACAGCGAGATGAGAGAGGTAGCGGGGACACAGAGAACCGCAGGGGAAGAAGTCAGGTCTCCATCAGGAGTCTGCCTGTGCAGGAGAGATCTGAAACAGGTACAACATAGTGTTCTTGAGAATGTCACTGGGGGCAGCAGAGTGAATGTTATAAGACACGCAACCCAGAACCTGGGAGACACAGGCACAGTACAGCGAACTGTAGGAGGGAGCCATGATGAAGCTCTGAGGAGCAGGGACACCGGCTAGGGATGAGAGAGGGCAGAGGAGGAGCAGAAACACCCGGGCTTGTATTGAGTGCGGATCTGCAAGGGAGATGGGGTGACCAGTCACAGAGTTTTCAGTCAGACCACCAGAAGGCACAGTGCAGATCTCGGGGGGAAGAGGAGCCCTCACATGGCAGGAGGCTGGAAGAGGAGCCCAGAGGGCGTCCCACATCCAGGCAGTAAAGGTTCCAGAAGAACAAGCGCTTCCCAGGGATCAAGGCCACAGAAACACGGGGCACATAAAGACTAAAGGATGGGCCTAGCGAGCAGCGTGCTGGCATTTAAAAGTGGAGCCTGCAGCCCTCCTGAGGCTTCCTCCAGACACTCCAGAAGAGCTCAGCATCCAGATGAGGAGGAATCATGATCCTCTGGGATGGGCCTCTGTGGTCCAGGGAAATCTAGAGTGCGGTCAGGTGACTGCTGCCAGGGACAGCGCAAGGTCAGCGCTGCCAGCCCGAGCCTCTGTGCTGCTCTGCGGCCTCTGCTCCTGAAGCTCCTGCTAGCGCACAGGTCTCACAGCAAGCCCCCAATGACGAGTTAGAGCAAAATACCCGGAACTGAAATTGACGGGAGCTTACCCCTGCTGTGAGCTTTGGAACTTTCTAGCCAGCTGGAGCTATGTGCTACCTCCATGGGCCTGGGAAAATGCAGGAAGATTAGGCTACTGAGCGTGAGCCAGAAAGCTTGGAAGTGCTCCCTGGGAACACCAGAGAGCTCAGGCCCATGCAGCACACTGTTGGGGTCTCCAAGGCACAGGAGTGCCAGCTGGACAGGGTCAGACCCTGTGAGCACTGTGCCCGCTGGGGGCACAGCTGGTTATTCAGGGTGTACGGGCTAGAGGAAGTGGGAAGACCTATCACTCAGTGGCAATCAAATGCATTCATGAGGGAAAATGTGATTGGGGGGAGGGTTGGTTGTTCGTTGGGTTTTTTTTGGGGGGGAGGGGTTGCCAGCAAGGAGAAGCTAAAAGAATACTTTCCCTTGGTTTCCTCATCAAGCCAGTAAGAAACTGCAAAGACTGTGTGTCAGACATCAGAGAGAACCAGGCAGAACAACATTTTCTGGACCACAGCAATGCCGAGCTCAAGGAAGCTGAGGCTGCCGGCACAGGGACCACGAGAGCAGGAGTGGACAGGGGCTTGTGAGCATCCGCCCTGACTGGGGTCTGAGGCAGGGAGATTTCTGTAAGAGCGTGGCTCCTGGGTCGCTCGGCCTCCAGCAGGTGGCTCTGGGCCCGGGGCTACACAAGCAGCACAGGTAATTAGTGCCCAAAGTTTGGCGGGGGTGAGACAGAAAGTCGGGAGACAGTGGGGTGCCGGAGTGGACTGTGAAGAGTCCGGGAGAGAAGCGGAGGGTGAAGGTAGCAAACGACTCTGCCCAAAATTCTCCAAAGCCAAACTAGAGATGGCGCCCGGGAGTAACGTAAGCACCTGAGTCTGCGTGTTTCCTCCTTCCAGCAGGGCGATGCCCAGCAAGATGCCCTCGGAAAAAATCCTGTCGTTCTTGGTGTTCACTATGACATCGATGACAAGCTCGGACGCCCCTTCCTTGTCCAGCAGACACTGGATGTCGGACACTGAAGTCCCGGTCTTATCCGAGTCCTGTCCAGAGAAGCCTCCTGGGGGGGAAGGGGACGACAAATCAGCCTTCATCACAGACACCGTTTTTAACAGCAAACAGCATTTCCACATTCTTAAACCCTACGGCATATGGCACTAGAAAGTTTACGACATCTGTAAGAGCAGAAATCTTGAAGAAATGTTTGGCGTGTGTAATTCAGTATCACTAAATGTTTCTCTTAACACTCTACACAGAGCTGCAGTGCTGGCTCGGTGGCTAAGAGCACCAGCTGCCCCTGCAGAGGACCTGGGTTCGATTCCCAGCACCCACATGGTGGCTCACAACCCTCTGTACCTCCAGTTCCTGGGATACAATGCCCTGTTCTGGCTCCAGGGGCACAAAGCACGCATGTGATGGACGGACATACAGGCAAGCACTCACCCACATGCATAAAAACAAATCTGTATAAAAAGTCTCTATGAAAGGGCCCAGCCTTTTGTCCTTAATGTGTGCCCTGAGCAAACCCTAACAAACTCCCTGAGTCACAGACAAAACCCACTGTAATGTTCAGATCTGTGCGTTCAGGAGCCCCAGACCACACTGGGTTCCACTGGTGTGTAGTGGACATTTCACACTTGTGTCATGTGACGGGAGAGCGGCACTGTCATGAAGACAGGCCGTGAGACCCTGAGTGGGGGGAGCGCGAGGGCTCACCTCCTGCTTGCGAAGGCTTGGCGTAGGCTCCCGACAGAGGTCCGCTCGCACCAGTACTATGGTCACCTTTGAAGTACCGATGCAGGAGGATTCTCCGCAGTGTGCTACCCTAGAAGGAAAGGAGAAGTGTCGTCATTTTTTCACGTAAGAGCAGAAAAATGTCAATGTGCTAAATATGTCTGTATCTGAGATAATCCGTGAGAAAATTTTATACCGAATTAGTCTCTGAGGGAAATTACAAATGTACCCCAATAACAACAGTGAGCTTGCTTTTATGAAAAGTGAAGAAGTGTGAAGGATGAGGTGGACCCGGACATCCATGGAGAGATGCTCCCTCATCCCCAAGCCCAACAAACTGGACACACTGACACACGCTGCCTGGAGAGCCCTGGGGCGGGCATGGCAGCTAAAGGCGCCTGAAACCTGACTTCAATCCTGGGGTGTGTGTGGTACAAGACAAATCTGACTCTTCTGCCTTCCACACGCACACTGTGATCACACATGTGTGTGCACACACACAATATGAATAACATAAACCGGTTAACATTAAATATTGCCATATATTTAGAGGCAAGTGAGACGTCCAGCCTAACAACTGAGCTCCACCCCTGGGCGCACAAGGCAGGAGAAAACCAACTCCTATGCACAGGCGCTATGTCATACACAGGGCCCCTCCCCCACAGACACACTCCGTCCATGTGACGGGTGTGAGTTTGCTCAGTGGGAAAGGCTGGGCTCCGAGGGTTGAGCAGCAGCCTAGAGAAGCTGGCGAACACTCTGAAGAACACGGCGACACACAAACAAGTGAGGAAGATCTGGGCATACAGACTGTCCTCACACAATTACACCTGGTAAAATAAAGCGATTCACGTCCAGACTCTGAGACTGTGGGCTTCACTGAGAAGAGGGTGGGCAGAGGGCGGTTTACTTCTTTTCCTGATTTATGTTTCATTTATATATTCAGACAGTATATTTCCTTATAAATAAAACCTTTTATATCCTGTCTTCCATACTACTTTACTAGAAGAAAGAGGAAGAGAGGTGGTGGAGGATGCAGAGGGGGAGGAGAAAAATAAAATGCCACGTTTCCTTCATATGGGGAATCTAGAACCAAACGTACATGTTATAGATACACACGCATTCATGAGTGACAAGAAACCGGGTGAGGCTCTTGGGAGGGAAAGGACCTATGGGAGGAGGCAGCAGGGAGAGGAGGCAGTGGGGGAGGGGTGTGCAGGAGTGTGAACCAAACAGCATATTACGTGCATATAAAATGTCGAGAGACCCATTCCTTCCTATGCTAGCCAGAGAGTGCTCTGAAGGTAAATACAATCGCTTGCGTGTACAAAACTACCTGTATTGGCCTGTTCCTAGGGTGGCACCCCCTATGCCAGGGAGGGACCCCGAGCTTGAGTGACTGGCTGTGGACCCGAGGCTCACAGGCAACAACACTGACCTCCTCTGACCTCAAACCCAGCATGTCCCCTGCCTGCTCCACGGTCCCACCCTTCCACTTTCCAGGTGCCTGCTGCTCACACCTCACACACCCTTCCCCAGCGCTGTGACTCGGGCTCCTGCCCATCCTGCCTCTCTCTGCTGCCTTGGTGACTCCCTCTGCAGTGTCTAAGGACACCCTGCCAACCCCACCCCAGCTGGGCTTCTCCCCCAGCGCTGCTCTCCCCATCTGCACTCCCTTCTCCGCTGCTGCACGTTCACAGCAGCCCTGAGACTTCTGTTTCTCCGTCTTAGGTGGCGAGGGCACAGGAAACTGAGAAAGGAGCATTTTCTCTCTCTAGAACCTGTTCTCCTCTCCATCTCAACCCACTTTAGGACCATTTTGATCACCCAGCTGCTCCTGGCACCTCTGACACTAATTTAAACTGAACTAACACACACACACACACACACACACACACACACACACACACACACACACGGTTTCTCCACTCTCCTGTTTCTTAAGGACAAGGCCTGTCTTCCTTCTGCAGTCTCTGTGCTCCTGGGAAGCCGACTCCTTCAGGTACTTTCCTGTGTGAAGAAGGCAGGAGCTTCCTGCCTGTCACATGACTCGATTTACATTCACCACGGCAACACACCTGTGGGTGTGCCCTTGAGAGTCCAACCCTGGGAAGCTACACTGGGAAAGAAGGACGCCCACCATGGGAGCCACACAGTCTATGGATGGGGAACTCAGAGTTCACAAAAACGACAAGGTCTCCATCTCCCTTTGCTTTTTGCCTACAGATGCGATGTAAGCACACGCCTCTCCTTGGGGCACCACGCCTGCCCCTCCAGGCCAGGCTGCACCCAGAGATAAACTGTTCCATCCTTAAGTAGCTTTTGTCACAGTGACGAGATGGTGAGTCTTTTGTCACAGTGATGAGAAAAGTAACCAAGATGCCATGAGTTAACAGTGAATTTACAGAAGACTTTAAGGGAAGGAGGCCCATCCCAGCAGGCTGTACAAGCCACACACACGTGGACACACACACATAATTAAAAGTTAATCTTTTCAAAAGTCATCTGGAGTGGTTTGAATAGGCACGAGCCCACACTCATGTGTTCGAGTCTTGGACATGGGAGAGGCACTATAAGAAAGTGTGGCTTTGTGAGAGTAGATGTGTCCTTCTTGGAAGAAGCGTGTCACAGTGGGTGTCATTCTCGATTTGGGAGGGAGACCCGATCTCGGCTTCTGGACAGAGAATGGTGGTTCCTGTTTCCCTCAGGGGCAGCAGGAGCACTGTACGGCGAAGCCCATGTGCTGAGCTCATGGGAAATGGTTTTTCCCTGGGTTAGAGCTTAGCTCTTTCAGCATGACATCAGCAGTGACAGTGGAAGCTCGGGTGTTCCTGAGAGACCAAAGACTTAAAAATCAGTGTGTATTGTTTTAAGACTAGCTAGGTGGAGACATGGTCAGTAATGCCCTGAGGGGAAGAACTAACCTTACCACATTCTTTCCTGCCCACTAATTATACAGTTGCTAGGAAACCGGCCCATAAGACCAGGACAGAACTGTTTGTAGTCTTGGCACCTAAAGTGGACCAATCATTTCAAAAGTCAATTTCCCTTACCCGATCATGTAATGCCAAAGCATGTAAGTCCCTGCTTGTGGTTTTTTCTCTTTAAAAACTCTGTACCCCTAGACCTCGGGGCCACATTCCTCTCCTGTTTCCACAGGAGGTTTGTGTCCTGTGTTCAAACTTGTGTACAATTAAAAAACCTCATGTATTTACAGTGGAGTCTATTTATTCCTAGTCTTTTGGGGTTCATGAACTGGGCATAACATATTTTGAGGCCTCATCCAGGATCCCAAGACTCCAGGAACCTAACCCAGAGGTTTTTATGCTGGTCTCAAGTGTCTAAATGCCTCTCTGCAATGTCTGTGTGTGCATGTACTTTCTGTCCTCTATTCTGAAAATTTCTCAGAGATCGGGGTGTCAGTATCTGGGCAGCAAGATGTGATCAAGGCAGATGCACTGGCAGTCACAGCTGATGAAATTCAGAGGGACGCCCCTAGCTTCATCAGTATTTTGGAGGGTAATTTGTCTAGTCTGTTTTGTTTTCTGTATCTGTTGAGTAAAATTATTAGACCTTTGCCAGACACACTTCCAACATGGCGGCGCTCGGTGCCTTCCACACCCGGTTCTGGAAAGGCCGGGGCAGGGTATAGTCACCCCACTGCACTGGCTCCGCCACGGCTGGTTGTGGTGGCGCACACGGGTAGGATTTGCTAAAGGGAGCACCACTCAGACACGCCCAGGGGAGGAGTGGCAGCCTGGCCAGCTGGAAGGCAGGGAGGGGCGGCAGGCCTGGGGCGGCAGGCCCTCAGAGCCTTCTGGGGTGCTGGTGATGGCGGTGGGGCCATGCCTCCTGCACCCATTGGTCCCAGGAAATTAGCCCCAGTACAAGCCAGGTTTTTTGTTCACTTTTGCCAGAGGCTATAGCTTCATATCTGTAAGTGTGATTCATTGTCTGTGATGACTGTTCTCATTTCTTAAGACAAGACTTGGGCTAACTAGTCATCTCTGTCATTTTGATTGGTACATGGATTGGTACATTTATTTAGCTTATAATTTATCCTTCTCAGATCTCTGATCACATTGATGGCTAGGATAAGTTTATGGTAACTTTGCAGCTAAAGAGCAGACAATTACATTCACTGTTAGCTCATGCATTAGCTAGTTAGAACTACTAGGTACTAGAACTTTTCTTTAGAAAGTCAAACAGGTTTGCCTTGCTCATAGGCTTCATGTTAGTTACCTGTGTCTTATGGTAAATAGCTGGATAGAAAAATATGGAGTTTACGTAGGGTCCGAGGATATAGGAGTTCAGGTTGTGAGAATCTAGAGAATGTTGTTTGATGATCTGAGAAAATGTTTCCAAGTTAGTAAATGCAAGAAAGACTGGAGAGTCTCAGTAGGTGTTTTAAGGTATATGAATGTGAGTTGTAACAATAAAGAAAAATGATTTAAGGCATATTAAAAATGGGAGATATTTTAGATTTTTTTCCCTCCTCTCTGCTATTGTTGTGCTTATATTGTTATAAGATTTCAGAAGTTCAGGCTTTTGATGTTGATCAATAGAGTTTTGATAAGTTGATGAAGCACTGACTGCTTATTATTCAGTCATAAGCTTGAGATTTTAATTTCCTTTGGTTGTCTTCTGGAGATAGACTTAACAGTGCTTCTCATCATGCTAAAAACATCTGTTTAATGTGTATATCTGATCCCAAAGCCATAACTTTTACTATGGTATTCTCAATATCTGCCATTTCTGAGGCAGACTTTGACACAGGAATATCTTAAACCTATTCCTTCTAGTTGCTATGTTAAGTAAAGTCCAAGCATCCAGGGTTTGGCAGTAAAGCCATTAATGTATTTCTGCCTAATTTTCCAGTGTGACATGGAGGTGAGGGCTAATGCAGATGCTGAGTGTACAAGAAGTAGCTGAGCTCCATTGGTGGCTGATTACCAACAGCTGTGCCCACAGGAAAAGTGTTAGAGTTTCAGACCGTGAACACACTTAAATTGTTTATAAAGGTTACAAAATAAACAGCTAAGAAGAACTGATACTCATTCAGTTGGATGCAGTTTTACCTGTTACTCTCAG